GACAGAGCCTGCAGCTCCTGCGGCCCAGATGGTCCTGTGTGCTTCCTTGCGTCAGTTCGCGTGACAGCGCTTGCTGTGCTTGTGTCGCAGACTTTCTAGAAGCTTTGGCACTCCACGTGTGTGCCTTCTTGCATCTCGCGTGCCGGACTTTGCAGCACTCCCGAGTCATCCCAGTGTGCACTCTTGCAGCACTTCTGCGCGCATGTGGCAGCCTCTCTGCAGCGTTCCTGGTTCCGCGCTAGCAGGTACTCAGCCCTCGTGTCTCGTGTCATACCGCTGCTGCAATGCCGGCTGCTGGATGGGTGAAAATGACGGAGAAGGAGCGTGCCTTGGCCCAGCGCTGGTACGACGAGGGGAAGTCGCCGTCCACCATTGCGGAGTTGCTCGACCGCGACACGTCCACGCTGACGCGGCTGCTATGCAAGCAGGAGGCAGCCAAAAAGCAGGGTCGCCCCTCTGCTTTGACCAAGGCCCAGGTGGACTATCTCGAGCGGAAGCTGGATCAAATGATCGTCAAGGCGGACGGCCAGAAGATGATCACGGTGGAGGCTCTGCAGAAAGCAACCAAAACAAAAGCTGGCACGCAGACCATCTTGAAAGCTCTCCACGAGCGCGACATCTACTTCCGCAAACTCCGCGAGAAGCCAGTGCTCACCCCGGCCGACGTCAAAGCCCGCAAGGCGTTTGCTAGCACATATCGGCATAAGTCGCGTGCATGGTGGCTGCAGCATGTCCATGCCTTCATCGACGGCAAGTACTTCCAGGCTGCTTGCTGCCCGTGTCGGCGTGAGCTCTGTGTTCCTTTGTGTTCGTGTGACTGTGTTCCCAGGTATACTTGACTGGAGCCGAGCGTGCCAGGGCAGCGAAGCACAGCACCTTCGGCGCATACAGACGCCCCGGCAAGGGCCTCTGCGCCGGCTACGTCAAGCCAAAGAAGGGCGGCCTCAAGCACTACACAGGGGTGAAGGGCGTGCTGTTGCAGGTCGGCATTGGCGGCGGAAAGGTCGTGACAGTGCACGAGGTCACGGGCCGCTGGAGTGGCCAAGCCGCCGTGACGTTCTACGAAGCACTTGGTCGCGGCCTGGCCAAGGCATGGCCGGGCAAGCGTAGATACACTATCCTCGAGGACAACGATCCGACGGGATACAAATCTGCGAAAGGCACGCGCAGTT